CCTAACCTCGAAACCCCTAAACCCCTAAACCCTAAACTAAACCCTCCACTTGGAGGCCCAGGGGACTTAGTAAGCAGGTTATAAGTAGAGTTGTAAGTACCCTAACTGGAGGTCCCCCAATTATAACCCTACTTATAAGACTTACTAAGTCCCCTGGGCCTCCAAGCATCGGCTTCACACCTGAAACCCTGAACCCTGCGAAATCATCGGGGAACCCCATGGTCCAAAACACACAAAAACCCCGCAACCCCAAACCCTAAAAACTAGGGTTTTGGGTTTAGGGGTTTAGGGGTTTAGGGGTTGAGGGTTTAGGGATTTGGGGGTTTTGACTTTAGGGTTTAGGGTTTCGGGGTTTAGGGGTTTAGGGTTTGGGTTTAGGGGATTAGGGTCGGGGTTTAGGGACACCGCCTCCAGCTGACTGCGCCGGAGGGAACAGAGCGACCCAACCTCGGGGCAGCTTGAGCTTTGTAAGTTAAAGGAAAACTACAGGTGGGTAATTTAGGGTATAGAGGGCTTCTATAAGGTATATAGACCTTCTATAAGGCTCCTATAACGGTAACTACCCACCTGACTAAAATGTCCTAGAGTAAGTGGTAGACCCAAGAGATGTAAAACAAAGCAGTTCAGTGTTGACGGCTAGACTCGAGGCCCAAAGACATATTATACACTAGAGGCCACCAGAACCATCCTTTGTTTTTGTCTTAGTCAAACTCCTCCGGCCGATCGGGACCTACAAAAGGAGCTCAACAACCCTAAACCCCTAAACCCCGAACTTGCAACCCTATGGGTAGCTAAAGCCAGGGCGAGGGGGAGGTTTAGGGGTTTCGGGTTTAGGGGTTTAGGGGTTTAGAGTTTTGGGGTGTTGGGGTTTAGAGGTTTTGGGTTTAGGGGTTTATGGCTTACTCCCGAAGCCGTAAGGGGGGCTAAGGGGGGCGCCAAGGCTGGTCGTCGGGAAAAAAGACTATCAGGGCATGGACCCTGCAACCAAAACAGCCTAATGAAGGGGCCTAAATAAGTAGACTCTCTCAGCAGGCTTGAAATTGTGTCGGTGCGCGCAACCGCGGATTAACCCTAAACCCTTAACCCTGATTGATAAACGCAGCCTAGACCTTCAAGGCCGAAAAAGCACCTTAGAACACACACACACACACACACATAATTCACCAACAAAATGCCTACAACTCAACACCCCGAACAAAAACGCTTAATGACATGACTAAATATATGGCAAAGCAATAACACACTCAGACAAATCATGATGATGATGGTAATGGCTCACGTATTGACAATCACAATGATGGTGGTGCCGGTAATGATATAAAAATGACGGTGATAGTAGTGACAACAATAATGATGGTGATGGTAACGACATAAGCCCTGAACCCTACCTTAAGCTACCATAACCTACTTCTATTTTTGTAGGTCGTTCTTATAAACCCCAGTCTTAAATTTGTAGGGACCCTACAAAAAATTAGGTTTGGGTCGCTTAGGGTACCGACAAATATGATAAGACGGCACCCCGAGCTTCCGGCCACTTCCTCCACGGGCCTGTGCGACCAGACGACCTTCGAACCATGGTTCGCTTCGTTTGTCCGTACACGATTTTTGGGATTTAGCCCCCAAACCCAAAACCAAAAACAAAACAATTAGGGTTCGGGGTTGAGGATTCAGGTTAAGGGCTTTTGGTCTGGGGTTTGTGCTGCAGACTAGTTAGGGTTCAGGGAAATGTATATATTGGTTCATCCTCGTTTGTGGGCGAAGATTCTGCGAAGGGCTTCGGCGTAAGACTTTCCGGGATCCCAAGAGGGCGATCTTCTTCCTTCTAGCATGGCCCCAGAGAGCCCAAGACCCGTTAATCAAGGAATATAGCTTAACTCATATTATGAAGCTCCTTCTAAATTGAGCTATATTCCTTAGTTAAGGGATATTGGGCTCTCCAGGGCCATGGTCATGTCCACTGTTATTGCCAGTCTGCACGTGCTACTCGCCACAAGTTGAGGTAACAGCGACGAGAAAGCACCAGCTGCAGCAACCATGAGATAAGAATCTCAGGGTGCAAGGTTCAGGGTTTAGGGTTTAGGGCTTAGGGGTTTAAGGTTTAATAGGGCTCAGGGGTTCAGGGTTTCGCTGTTTAGGGGATTAGGGTTTAGGGTGCGAACAACAGTTGCGACGATGTAAACCAATTCAACGGAGCTCAAAACTCAAAACCCAAACCCCAAAGACCCCAAACACAAATCTACACTCCAAGCTGTACTTAAAACGCCGAAACCCCGGACCGTAAGTAAAACTTGAACCCGAAGCCTTAAAACTTATACAGAACCCCAAATCCTAACCAAAACCCTCAGCCCGAATAAGCATTCTTTAACAGCCTGAACCAAGACCCTCAAACCAGAAGCGCTCAACCCTACACCCCTCAAATCCTCAAGCCTTGCAATACACCATAGTGAAACTTATAATACCCTATTAAGGGACCCTTAAAATTTATAAGCCTTACAGTACCCGTATAGTACCCTGAAGGGACCGTGAAATAACCCTACACCCCAAAATGCCCTAAACTCCAAACCCCTCAACGCTATCACCCTAAAGCTAAAACCCCAAAACCCCACACCTCCAAACCTTCGACTTCCTCTCTGAGCCCACGGGCCTTTGCCTCGGGAAAGGCTTGCCTTCGCCGGGACGGATGGTTTGGGGCTTGGGGTGTTTGGGGGTTCAGGATTCAGGGGTTTAGGGGTTTAGGAATTAGGAGTTTATAGGGTTTTGCAGTAGGGTTTAGGGGTTTACGGGCTTGGGGGTTGGTTTGCTTACAAGGATTCGTTCAATAAACTACTCCCCTCGAACCGCTCGGCGCCTTCGGGTAGCTGATTGGCCGCCAGAAGATACTCTAAGGCAGGTTTCGCTGTAGGGGCCTGAACTCAAGACAACAAAACAATCAATTGGACTCGGGTTTTGAATCAATTGGACTCGGGTTTTGGGTAGTGCAACTATAGATATACAGATATACAGCTTCAAAGGTTTATTGCTCACAATGCATGCTGTTGTTGGAGCTGACCACGAGACTAGAAGAAACACTGCATATCCTAGGATCCCTGAAGGCAGGTGATTCAAAGGGGGAGGCTGGAGATTCTTCCATAAGCGTGGCAGACAAGTAGGGTGCTGGCAAGTGTGGTGGATTTCGATGGAACCTTTGGCACCCCAATGCTCCAAAACATCCCCCAACTGCGCACACTCGGGTGTGAATCTGGTCTACAATACCAACCGCATTCGCCCACACAGAACCCTCCTAGAACCCCTCTGAAGCCTCTAAACCCTAAACCCAAAACCCTCCACGTATGGGTCCTTGGAGCCCATGGGATGAATTCAACACACAGCTGAAAAGTTGGCACGGGACTCGTTCCCTCTCTGTTTAGGGGTTCAGGGTTTAGGGCTTGTCGAAGACGGCTATTTTCTAAGGACCTCACCAGGAAACAATCACGAGGTAGGCTTTTGCGTACAATAAAACCCCCAAAGAATCCCAACCTAGAACCCTCAGAAACAACAGGTTCTGAGCTACCAAAAGGGTCCAAAGTACGTAGAGAGAAGAATGTAGGGTTTCTAGATGCGGAGTCCTTCTTACGATCTATCACAGTATCCCCCATGGAACCTTCAAACAAGCTAGCTACCTATAGTCTCTAGTTCCTTTTGTTGGTTTAACCAATTATATCTTAAGGAATTTTTATGGTATCCCGAAAAAGGAACTACAATGGAGACTATAGCTACTCCTCCTAAACCCTAAACCCTAAACCCTAAAAGCCCTCAAACTCCAACCCCCAAAAACCCCTAAACCCTAAATCCTAAACCCTCTCCCCCATCCGGCCTTAGTTGGGCCAAGTATTGCAAGTGCAAGAGTTGGCCTCCGCCGAAGGTCTGCTCTCCCAACGGTTTAGGGTTTAGGGTTTAGGGCTTCAGGGGCGAAGCTCGAAAATCTGAAACCGTGCGGCCCTGAAAACTGGAAAAATAGGGTTCTGGGGTATAGGGTTTGGGGAATAGGGTTCTGGGGTTTAGGGTCTAGGGCATAGGGGTTTAGGGTTTAGGGTTTAGGGGTTTAGGGGATTAGGGTTTAGGGTTTAGGGTTTAGGGTTCGGTATACTATACTCTTGTTATAATGAGGAGCCCCCAAAATCGTATAGGTAATCTATTTAAGCCTCTTCCCCTGCAAGGGGAAGAACCAGCCTCCAAGAAATGCTTTACGGTTTAGGCTTCACAGGTCCCCCTCCTAATCGTTTAACCGTTATAAACCCCAAACTACCCTAATCACCTCTTCATGAGAAACCCTAAACCCTAAACCCTAAACCCTAAACCCTAAACCCTAAACCGAAGTAATTATCAGAGCCCTTGACATAAAGGGACTTGGGTCGTCCTGGTAAAGCCTGAACTTTCAAACCGCTCAATACCTCAACCCTAATCCTTAAACCTGCAAGCCAAAACCCTAAAGCCTTAAATCCCTACGCCCTTCATCCTCAAATTCCTAAATCCAATCCTGGGTGAACGACAGATCACCCCGTGCCTTTCAGCACGAAGCGCTTGCTTTCAGAGCCACGTCTGACTTGCACCTCGTCATATCCAGCTTTAGTTTGTTTGTGGGAGGCCTTTTTTCCGTCTTGCTGGAAGTCGGAGAGCCTTGTTGAGGCAGGCTGTTTAGTTTGGGGTTTTGCGTTTATGGTTTGGGGTTTAGGGCACCTCTAAGCCTAAACCATAAACCCTTTAGTTTAGGGCTTGGGGGTGACGCTTGGAGCTCATGGCGCGAATCACGCAAACAACGCGCAAATGCCGTGAGATAATGAATTTTGGGGTTTAGGGTTTAGGGTAATTGGTGGAAAGCGGTTCTACTTCTGATGATGTGTAATCATGTGTATCAGGTTTTGAGCTCCTCAGACGAAGGATTTCTCCAGTAGTTAGACAAGAAGCATAACTTTGGCATGTGGGTGGGTGTGGGATAATCAAAGCCGTAAACCCTGAACTGCAACCAGCTCGCCATTCCAGCCTGCTGGAGGAACGACCGATAGCGCTGGTAGGCTGCTGTGGGGACATCCTGCTGGGACAAAGCCGTGGAAGCCCAGCTACCTCAAAGGATCTAGTGCCTTACTATACTATATGGCTTGGTGGGGAGGGCAACCTACAGAAGCAAGGAAGGTTTCGGAGACTTTGCAGGGCGGTTTTGCTCCCCACCTTTACGCAGCTTGGGATGTGTGGGCTTCAGGTTTTGCGGGGTATTCAGCAGGGTCTGAGGCTATGTGGATTCACGGCGTAAGGTCAAGGGATACTTGTTGTCCCCTGCAGTAGTTGGAGGGCCTAGGACAGCTTTCAAGCGCATTTAAAACCAACGTAATTAATATGGCGAGGAGCTTGCAACGGCCGCAGCCATCTGCTTGGTTGCAATTCGTGCGATTATAGTGCTTGCTTGTTTTTTGCTCGTGCCGGCTGCAGGGAAATCGACGTCATCGGCATTTAGTTTTATCGCCTTACAAGGCATACAGCGTCTTCTAAGCAGATAGACGAGATAACTTCTGCAGATACTCTGAAAACTCCTCCTCTTTGGCATAGACCGCTGGTAGCCGGGGTTGAGCCTGGCACGAACTACGACATCACTTCAGAAGCTGCCGTACACAATGTACTGACCGTAAGAAACTGAATACGGTTTTGAGGCCCATTGAGGCCCATTATACTATAGTTATCATAAGCAACCACCCAAACTTGTATTGATAAGTATTTAGGTTTAGGCCCCTACATTGCGGCTTGAGATTGAAGCTGAGTTCTTGCATGACCCTAAACCCTAAACCCCAGATGCATGTCAAGAGATGTCGATTTAGCGCTGGAGTCCTGAAGCAAAGAACCGACACCCTGAAACCTGAAAGAAACCTTAAGCCCCTAAGCGGTAACACCACAGAATTAGAGTGTAATGCAGGGGACTTAATAATTAGAATAGGGTTTTGGGGCCCACTATACTAGATTACTAGAATTATAATCAGGAGCCCCCCCAACATAGTATAGGTAGTTATTAAGGCCCGGCCCGTATCGTAACTTGGCCTGGGTGTTAAGCGTGCTTCGTGTTTCGGGTTCGAATCTTCCAGGCTCGGGCTGTCTGTGCTTATAGGGTCCAGGCCTTCAGATCTTAAACATCCCTCGGTTTAGGGTCTACCTTAGCCCCAAATAACCTACCTTTTTAAGGACGTATATAAAGAATTCATAATAAGGAACCCAAAACGGTAGGTTCTTTGGGGTCCAGGTAGGGTTTAGGGAACCAGCTGGACTACACTAATCGTGGTTCCTCTTTGCATGTCGGCCTAGACTCTAAACTCTAAAACCCTAAACCCTAAACCCTAAACCCTAAACCTAAATCCCATGTACCACAACTCAAACCCTTTCAATCACTCCACGCACCGCAAGGGGGCAAAAAATCCCGGCAGCAGTACTCTGTAGTGTGTATCGAGCCTTGGTGAATGGCAGGAGTGTGGGCCTTTCGTGCTTTCTGCTCTGGAGTTTGGGGGGGGGGTTAGGGTTGAGGGTTTAGGGTTTGGGGTTTACAGTAGGGTTTAGGGTTTAGGGGAGGTGTTTGGGTGCCACTTTGGGTTTATCTGGGGTTGTGCATGGATAATGTCGAGATGACAGCGCAGGCATGTAGGATGTAGACCACACTCCGACATAATTGCAGACTCAGAAGTAGCACTCGAAGAGAAGGGGTTAGGGTTTAGGGTTTGGGGTTTGGGGAATGCAGGGGTTAGGATATTTTTGATTTTGGGCGTATGTGCAAGTACTTGAAAGAAGCTTTGCAATTAGCATGACCAACACGTGACATTCAAAAGACCTATCTGTACAATGTGGCACTATCAGTGCAAGACCTCCCCAGACGCATGCTGTGAAGTGTCGCAAGTTTCATGCCACGTACCACAAAAAAAAACACTTATCCTTCCTACAAGGCCTCCTGAACCCCTGCTTCGCCTCTCCTCCATCAGGAGCGACCATTAGCAGAAACTAAAGGTATGGATAGTTATCTAAAGTAGGGTCCCTTTTAGGGTCCTTTTCATAAGGGGGCCGTACTATTTTGGGAACCTGAAATGCGACCCTCATTTAGAGAACTGCCCGTGTGTTGAACAAATCCGGCCGAATCACCAGCACGTTTACGAGGCCACACAACAACAATCGTGTCCTGCGTGGAAGACACATACACAGAACTATAGGCCATATATAATGTTACATGTACAGATGTATGTAAGTGTATACACTTTATGCAGACGGTGCATTAAATCATTAGGGTTTAGGGTCAAAGGTGTACTGGGCATAATGGGAATATTTTGGGACACTTACGTCCGAATATAGATTATACCCCTATATACTAAATACCCAATGCTATATACCCCTATATACCCCATGCCCCTTCAAAACTTCTCCCAGAAAAAATACATCCCACTGGCCCCTACGTCTGGCAAACAGCTGAGGCAAGCAACGGCATGCTGCGCTGCAGCGCGAAGAGGCACCTTCCAGCTTCAAACAAGGCACCCAAGCTTCGAAAGTATGGTAGTTCTCTAAACTAGGGTCCCTTTGTAGATTCCCCCCCCAATATAGTACGGCACCCTTATAAACAAGGACCCTAAAAGGGACGCTAATTTAGAGAACTACCCACATCACAAACCCGAGGCGATGCCTTTTCAGTCCTTTTCCAGTAAATCAAAGCCAAGGTTTAGGGTTTAGGGTTTAGGCACAAAAAGGATGTCCCGGTTCCAATAAAGTCGGGATCCCCCGACTATAAACCGCTTCTGCTCATGTGCTTTCTGAGGCCCCTGTCAATCAAGCCAGCTTGCTGATGGAGCTCCCTGACACAAAACCCTAGAAGCAGCCTTCAACTAATGTCGGGGCCTGAATATTTAAAACAAGGCTTTGGGGTCGATTAGACTATAATTATAATAAGGAACCCCACGACCCTATTTCTAATTATTAAAGCCCTTATATTACCCTAACCTACAAGAGCCTACTAAGTACTATGTTGGCTTCTGGGGGCCCTTTCTATGTGGGGTGTTGCTGTACATCATACTCTACAGAGGGACGATTAGAAGATATTTTTGTACAGATCCTCTATATCACCGAAAGTCTTGTTTCCCCACACCTAATCCCCGCATCCGGAATCCTAAACCCCAAACCCCAAATCCAAAACCCTAAACCCCAAACTCTGAACTAAGCCCTAAGCCCCCTACCTTAGGCCCTACTGACCACCCTGAATCCTAAACCCTAAACCCTAAACCCTAAATCTACACATCTGAGGCCCAGAACTCTTCGGGAGAGGCAGCATCCAAGCTGTGGTGGTGAGGCCTCTGCTTTGGGTGCACCGAAGATGATGGCCCGAATACACAGAATCTGGGTAATGTAGGGGCCTTAATAATTAGAATACGGCTTTTGGGGTTTACTCTACGATAATTCAAACAGGAACCCCCACAATAGTATAGGCAATTAGTAAGGCCCCTATGTTGGTTCTCTGAATCGGAGTCCCTTTTCAACTTTTCGGGATCCTTCTTATAAGGGTGCTGTGCTAGTTTTGTGATCTCAAAAAGGGACCCTAATTTAGAGGACTACCCATCGGTGTTTCGGTGTATATTATAGCATAGATATTTGCTAGGGACAATGAGGGCTTCTTCCGACTCAGAAAAACTCTCAACATGACCTAGTATAGGGGCCGTAATAATTTGAATAGGGTTTGGGGGTCCATTATACTATAATTACAATAAGGAGCCCCCAAAATAGTACAGGTAGCTATTAAGGCTCCTATATTCGGTACAGGATCCAGGCCCATGGGTGAACTCTGAAAGCCTCATGCTCAGAAGGCGAAGATTCAAAAGTAACAGAAGCTGAAGTAGACGTCTTGGGGTGTAGGGGCTCATGTCTGTAGGGTTTCAGGACTTGGGCTTGGGTGGTAGGCTTAATGTAACAAAAATCCTTGTACCCCACAATAATATATTTAATTGAGGCCCCTATATTACGCGGTCTTACACCCCCGGAGCCTACAAAGCAAACACCAAGCCCCAATCTGGAACGCTGCAGAGAGTGCCATGAGCCAAGTCATGGAGGGCCTTAAGAATTAGAATAGGGTTTTGGGATTTCTTAATATATTTATAGTATAATATACCCCAAACCCTATTCTAAGTATTAAGAATTACTAAGTCCCCTATATTGGGATGCTTCCCTTCTGTCTTCCTTGCCTTTGCCTGAGAGCTAGTTGCAGACTTTTCATGCCCAAGCCCCATGCCCGACCCAGAGTCCCAACCTGGGAACTTAAACCACATCAACTTGGGTAGTTTGCTAAATTAGGGTCCCTTTTAGGGTCCTCTTTTGTTTAAAGGGTGCCGTACTATATCATGGGCGTTTCAACAATACTTTTACTGCCCACATACCGAACCGAACCGAACCGTACTAAAACCCAAGCACCGCACCGTACCGAACCGAAGCCAAAATCCCTCCATCCAGCCCCTCTCCTTCTGGATGGAGGGGTTTGCTGGATGGTGCGGGCGGGAAAAGCGGGGTAAACCCAAACCGAACCGCACCGCACCGAACGGTAAATGATTGAGGTAAACCGCAGTAAACCCAAACCGCACCGAACCGAACCGCAACACCCATGATTATATTGGGGACCTAAAGAGGGACCCTAATTTTGAGAACTATCCACTTGCAATTGCAATGAGCCGAAACTCTGCACGCTTAGCGACGTTTAGGATCGAAGATACCGAAGCCGACTTCGACGGGGTCCGTGCAGCATGAAGGCTTGATGTTCTGCTTCATGTTCGTTAACTTTGGACACCACCCAATGCCAATCAGCCACAATTCCCCTTCGTAAAACCGTATGAAGCCCGTATCAAAACCGGGTGAGACCATTTGGGGGTTTCCGAAAATAGGGGACCCTAATCTAGTACCCTTAATAGTAGGATCCTTATTATAAGGACCCCAAAATAAGGTACCCCTAATTTCCGGAAACTCCCATTTGTGTCACAGCTCTGGGTCGGCAGCCACTGCGGGGCGATAACTTCGCCCAAACGCATGAGGAGGGCCAGCTTGGCCTAGGTGGTTGCAGCCAACCTTGAGGACGAAAAGAACCTTAAAAGCCTTAAAAAGTAGGGGCTCTATACCCTTATACTATGAAACCCTATATGGTATATGAACCCTAAACCTTTTAAGGTTCTTTTCGTCCTTATAAAGGAATTTGGAGCTGCGATTTTCTGCGCCAGCTTTAGGGTCGGGCACTCCATTGAAAACACATGAAACACGGCAAGGTTCGGATGTCACATAACTTGGAGGTTCATGGGCAGTTATAAGTAGGGTCATAAGTAGGGTAACTGTAATTATAACCCATATTAGGGAACTTATAACCCACTTATAACTACCCATGAACCTCCAAGAAGGCAAGCCAATTAAGCAGAGATATACCACCTGCAAGGTTGCCCAAGGATTGCGGAGGTGTCTTCCTTACATTCAGGGTTCAGGCTATGGGTGGTTTAGTTTTTCTGATCAGAGCTCCGAGGGGAGTGGTGGTTAGGATGGTGCATTGGAAGGGTTATACCCCTTAGCATCAGAATAACCCAAAAAGCCTCATGTAATAAGGTCTTTGGGCCCAAAAGCCTTAAAATATGAGTCCTTTGAGGATAAGGGTACAGGGGCAGCCAAATTCGCTTACAGTCACCGCAGTGCTGGGCTGCACCAGGGTCGCCCATAAGGCAGCCTTTCTCCACGTCCAGCTCTTCTCAGAGCTCGGCCTCACTGGTCTTTGGCTCAGGACCGCTTTAGGGCTTTAGGGTTTTAGGGTTTAGGGTTTTTTAGGGCTTTAGGGTGTTAGGGTTTTAGGGTTCAGGGTTTAGGGTTTAGAGACCACGCGCCCCGTCTGGCCAAGCGCAAACCAAGAGCGGTTGCCCTGGCGCTGGAGCAAACTTTGTCTCTGCTTCTCCTGCAGTCCTGCGCCTTCCACGTCCGCCTGATCCTGGAAGGCCAGCTTCTCTGCTTACGTTAACGTCTTCCATTTTGCGCTCGCAGCAGCCATTCTGGACTTCTGGCTCCGGATCCTACCTTCAGCTTTCCACGCGTCATAAAAGAAGTGCCACGCATTACGAGCCTTGCGCTTGTCCTGCTCTTGGAGCTGTGCTTCTCTGCCTGCCAGAACTCTAAACTCTAAACCGCGCCCCCAAAATGTTTCGGCGTGGTTTGCGCAACATGAATACTCATTCCGGTTTCGTATGGTCTTTCTGAGGCTTGAACAGCAGATTTCAGTAGGGCTCAAGCCCTGGTGACCGCTACAAGCCTCCATAATTCCCAAAACCACCGAAGCTGCAATTCGACTCTAAAGCCGAACTAAAGCCGAATAAAACCCTAAATGCAAAATCCTACACCCAGGGTTTAGGGTTTAGGGGTTTAGGGTTTAACCCTGTTACTGGGTTTAGGGTTTAGGGGTTTAGGGTTTAACCTGTATCTGGTCACTGCCTTTTCGATCTGGCGGATAGACGGCTGCCGAACGCTTGTGGGTGGCAGAGCCGTAGAGCACACTGACCACTGTACAAACCGCAGCAGCCCAGTTACCTCTATGTACAGTAGGTCGCACCCTGGTAAAGATCAGTTACTTAGATATATAAGTTTACATATATATATATATATACACATGTATCACGACACATACAGCATATATATATATATATATACACATACATACACCGTGCCGGACCAAGACATGTGGAGTTACTCCTGGGCCACGCCGGCCCCAAGCAGCTGTGCCTGTCGAGGCCGAGAGCTTAGATGCTTGGGGCTTATGCCTACCCAGAGACTCCAATATCCCTTAGTTAAGGAATATACCTTAAATCATATTAGGGATCCTACTATAATTTTTTAAGGTATATTCCTTAATTAAGGGATATTGGAGTCTCTGGGTAGTCGGGTTGAAGGTAAACCTGGGGGGATCCAAAAACCTACCGTTTTATGGGTTCTACCCAATTAAGGGGTCATAACCTACTATTTTGTAGGGTCTGGGGTCACAGGAAGAGTTTAGAGCTTAAGATAAAGAGTTTAGGGCTTAAGGTAAAGAGTTTGGGGTTTAAGGTTTAGGGTAAAGGGCTTCAAGGTAGCCAAAATACTTTCTTGCGTCACAAGAAGACACGATGAGAAACGAGACAAAGCACGAGGCATTCTGCTGTCGTCTGTTGTTGAAGGTACCCTCGGTACTTCTACACGTAAGCAAGCGTCTAACACCATCGGGAACTGCTGTCCCCAGCAACAATCTCGGGCTGTCGCCTAACAAAGCCTAACACAGCACCACTCTACAACCCTGGTTTCTCTCCATCAAGACGCTCCGAAAGACTTACCGATGATCGCATTCACTAATGTAGGCTGTTTAGATCTGCTTAGCGCAGGGTGGTCAAGGTTGCATGCTTGATGGCGGGGAGGAGACAATGTGGATGTTTGGATGTCGGAGAGAGCGAGGCGCCTGCATGTAGGTAGCTGTTCTAAACTAGGGTCCCTTTTAGGGTCCTTTTTATACATGTGCCGTACTATATTGGGGACCTAAAAAAGGGACCCTAGTTTAGAGAACTACTCATGTCTCTTTGGGCAGCCTGCGCCCTGACAATCGGCCTTTCCATGCTCAATGAGCCTTCATACTCCCCTTTGGAGGGTTAAAGGTTTAAGGCTTTTGGGTTTAAGGGTGTAGGGGTTTGGGTTTAAGGGTGTAGAGATTTGGGTTTAGGGGATTTAAGTTTAGGGTTTAGGGTTTAAGAGTTTAGGGGTTTAGGGTTTAGAGGTTTAGGGTTTAAGGGTTGAGGGGTTTAGGGGTCTGAGCGTTTAGGGTTTAAGGGTTTAGGGGTTGAGGGCTTAGGGTTTAGGGGTTTAGAGGTTTAGGGTTTAAGGTTCCCCCTGCCCGGAGACTCTGAATGCATCAATAAGCACAAAGCCTCACATGACCCTCCATCAAGAAGCACCTCGCGGCACTCTGACACCGGCGCAAGCAGCCGCGCAGTCCCGAAGAGAAGGCAGGCCTCAAGAATATGCGTCTAGAACTTGCAGGAGGCTTCCATCCCTGCTGCACCGCTGCACTATACGGCTAGTGGAATCTGGGTTGTCGCCTGCGGGAGAAGAGGGGGGTGAGTTGAACCAGGCCGATATGCAGGGCTCAGCTCTACCTATAGTCTCCATTGTAGTTCCTTTTTTTGGCTTAACCAATTTTCTATTAAGGATTTTATAAAGGTATCCCCAAAAGGGAACTACTATGGGGCCTATGGGTAGAGTATGTCAGCAGCGATTCAGTTGCTGCAAAGAAGATCGGAGGTGATGAGCATGCGGAGGACCATAGTTAAAGGAAACTACAGGTGGGGAGTTTAGGGTATGTAGGGCCTCTATAAGGCTTCCATAAGGTATATAGACCTTCTATAAGGCTCCTATACATAGGAATGCTGCGCCCCTCTCTGTACTGGTGGAGCCAGTGGAGCCACACGCAGACCGGAGAAAAGGCCTGTAAGGCCCTAGCCTGTACGAGCTAAGCACTCGGTAGAGGTTTAGGGGTTAGGGTTTAGGGTTAGGAAGGCTTGTATGATGGTAGCAAGTGTGCACCTCGGCCTTTTGCAGTCCTTCCCGTATCTATTTCTTGAGTCACATATTGCCAGCATTGACGCCCAAACCCTGAACCCCAAACCCGCAGCACTGACATGCCCTGATCCTGAACCCTCAAACCCTTAACCGTAGACCCTAGACCCTCAAACCCTAAACCCTAAAAGCCCTTAAACTCCAAAGCCCTAAACCCCTAAATCCCTAAATCCCAAAGCCCTAAAATCCTGAAGTCGCGAAGTCTCCAACTTGGAGGTTCATGGGCCCCCCCCAATATGGGTTTAGGGTTTAGGGTTTTTTGTCTCCCCAACATGGGTGATAATTCTAGTTATCCTACTTATAACCCAACTTATAACTACCCATGAACCTCCAAGTAGCCCTCAGTCCTTAGCGCAAGTCGCAAGGAGAGAGAGTCCCGATGCTGCCGTGAAAGCCATGGCTTCCTGACAAGTGGCTGAGGGCTTTGGGAAAAGGGCTTTTAAGGGTTCACGGCTTATGAGGGTTTAGGGTTTACGTGTCCAGATGATCGTAAATAGGCATGCCATGTGCTCTTTAAACCAAGGTACCGTGCTGTAATCTTCGTAAACCGGGACAGTGCAGAAAATGCGGGTACTGGTGAAGGGAGCCGAGAGCAGTTGGACTGAGAACTGTTTCTTGCGTTCCAGGACTAGGTAGTATTATTAGGGGTACCCCTTAAAGGGTACCCTTTCTGAACTCTACTTTTGGCTCTCTTAAAAGGGACCTTATTGAGAGGGTCTATATCCCAAAGGGTCCCCCTAATCCTAGCTCCCAAGGACCCGGGCGAGTGGAGCAAGGAGGCTTCTTGAGAAAGGCAGAAACTGGTTGAACAAGCCTGCCTCACCCTCACAACACTCCTCTGAAGTTATAACTTCACTATGTTATGATGTAGCCCTCTGCAACATGATCCTGCCCATCAGCAGCACAGGTTTAGCACTGCTGACCAGTCAAGAGACCTATGGAGGCTCTGCGTATTAGGACGCTTCCCCAGGTCCATGTTTCAGGAGTTCACAAGCAAGGGCGAAGGTTGAAGCATGGCTTCCGGGTCAATCAAAAATTTTTGGGATGGAGTTAGGAGCATTAAGCAGAAATCCCATATCGTGACCCTGAACTCTAACCCGAACCCTAAAACCTTCAACCCAAACCGAAACCCAAAGCCCTAAGCCCTAAACCCTAAACCCTAAAATCCTAAACCCTAATCCCTGAATCCTAAACCCTAAACCCTAAACCGAAACCCTAAACCCTAAACCCTAAACCCTAAACCGAAACCCTAAACCCTAAACCCTAAACCCTAAACCCTACAGCCTTCCACCCCGAAACCTACACCGGAGTCCTCAATGTCCAGGAAAAGGTAACCCAGCAGCTCACCGACCTCCAGGTTTTCGGGCTTTAGGGCTTAAGGGGCTCTAGGGTTTAGGGGTTTAGGGCTTTCGGGTTTAGGGGTTTAGGGGCTCTAGGGTTTAGG